AGATATTAGTTTCTAGTCTAATAGATAATTTAAGATTAAAGTAAACTAGAAATAGAGCTAATTTAAAAGTATTAATTAGCTTTTAAAAGGCTTCCTTCTTATATTCTAGTAGAGAATATAAACTAGGCTTCTTCCTATTTTTACTTCTTTTTAAAAGAGAAATAAGAGATTATATAATTTAAGAGAAATTATATATAAATCTATAGTAAAAGTTATAAAATCTAATAAAGACTTAAATATCTCTAAAACTCTTAGATATTAGCTAAGAAATAATAGATTTAATCTATTCTTAATCTATAGTAATATCCTCTCTTAAGATAATATATCTAAGGAATTTAATCTTAGATTAATAGAATATATACTTTAATAGCTTAATATATAATTAAGCTTTTTATAAGCGCTATAATACTTATTTAATATAATTTATATACTTACTTCTTATTCTAGAGAATATAAAAATATTATCTAAATAAATAATATAGAATTTATTTAGAATCCTATATAAAGTAATATAAATATAGCTCTAAAATATAATAAATATATTTATTAATCTAAATAGTATAACTATATATTTAAAATAACTATATTAGATTTAAAATACTATTTTTTACTTATCTCTACTTTTAATTTAAATTTAATAATATATATCTTATATATTAATTTTACTAAAATACTAAGAGCTAAATAATCTATTTAGAATCTTAGAAATAAGAGATAATAGATATTAATTCTTTATTAAAACCTTATTTAAATCTCTATAATTAATATATAAGTGAAGAGTTCTATCTTTCTTTAATATAAAAAGAATAGGAGCTCTTATAGGACTTTTTAAAGATTAGATTTATTAATTTTTAAGATTTTTTACTAAGTAATCTTAAAGTAATTTTAGTTTATTCTAAGATAATAGATATATAGGCTTATATAAGGGCTTAAAATCTTTAATTAAATTAATTAAATAATTACTTACTTAATTAATAAATAATATTTTTAAATCTACTTTTAAAAAGATAGATTTATATTTATATAGCTTAAGTAGAATAGATAATTTATTTATTATAATATTATTCTAATCTTAAATTAAGCTTACTTTAGGCTTACTTTTTTTCTTTTTATTAATAATCCTAAAGTTATAATTAAAATAAAAATATAAGTCTAATTTTAATAAGCTTTTATTAATTAATAAGCTATTATAATTTTAAAAATAAGATTCTTAAATTACTATTTTCTTTTTTATAATAATAAGTAAATCTTTAATTTAGTTAGAGTTATTATTAATAATAAGATAGGACTTTAACTATAATTTAAGTATCTTTTAATAATAATATAGGCTTATCTTACTAATCTAGTAGTACTTCTATTATCTATTAAAGTAATAGATATAGTAAAAGCTTTATAAGTTAAAACTAAGAGATTTTTAATAATTTAAATATTTAGAATTATAAGTTTTATAAGTTTAAAATAATACTTTTAAATAAATTTTAAGCTAATAATATTAATTTTAGCTACTATATTAAGATTAACTAAAGTCTTCTATTAATCTATTATTATAAAGATAGTAAAATACTATAAAATCCCTATTAAATTAAGGAATATTAAAGTAATAGGGCTTACTTTAATCCTTTTTAATTTTCTAAATTTTTTATAATTATTTCCTATATTTAGATATTCTATAAATAATTAGATTATATATAATTAAGACTACTATAGATATAATAATTAATTTTTTATTTAGTATAGGTTTAATTCCTTAGTTTCTATTTAGATTTCTCTTACTTTTAGGGCTCTTTATTAGAGCTTTTAAGCTTTTTATAAAATAAGTCTAATTTAGAAGTAAAATAATATTATTTTAAAGCTAATTTTAAAGAAAGAAGATTCTAGTATAGTATAGTAAGTAATACTATTTTTACTTTAGTTTCTAATAGAGATCTTATATATTTTTATATCTTTAGTCTTAGTTCTAGGACTAATTTAAAGAAGAAAATAAATACTTAATTTTTTTTATTTTCTTATAGAAGATACTCTTTTAAAGAATTTAAATATATCTTAAAATTAAATAGATACTAAGTACTAAATTAATATATAGCTTTAATTTAGTTTTTAATATCTATCTTAAAATTAATAGTATTTTAAATTAAAATAAGAGTCTATCTCTTAAAATATTCCTATAAATTAGTATTAATTTAATATTATTCTAGGGTTTTTTCTAAGATATATTCTATCTATTTTATTCTATTAATATTATTAATATATATTAGTCTACTAAGAATTTTTAATCTTTTAGAAGAATATTTAAATAAAGTAGCTAAAAAAGTAAGATTAAGATTAACTAGCTATTTATATTACTTTTAAATAAAGAATTAATTATTAAAAGTTTTAATATCTTTAATCTTAATATCTCTTTCTTTCTAAGATATTTTAAAGGTAAATTTAAGAGATACTAAAGAATTATAATCTCTAGTATTTAAAGATAATTTAATTTTCTCTTTTTATAGTTTTTATAATTTTTATAAATTATTAATTATTTTTTATACTTCTTAAAGCTATTTTTTAATAGAAAGAGATAGCTAATCTTTTATATCTAAAGTAATACTAATTCTAGATATAGAAGAAGAAGTAAGATATATAGACTCTATACTTCCTTTAAAGGTAGTTTAATATATATTTACTATCTTCTTAGATAGCCTAAGATAGAAGAATTAGAAATTATAAGGAATAAAAGGGCTAGATAAGAAGATAGTAAAAGAGAACTAAGAGGAATATAAAATAGTATTAATATAGTATAGATTTAGATCTAAGGTAATATAGATTATATTAGTTTTAAAACTAATTCTTAAGGAAGAGAAGAATTAAAAGAGAGAGATTCTTCTTCTTCCTTAATATAGAGGAAGTAAGAGCTAAGTAAGAGCTAGATAAATAGTTTATAATAATCTTACTTTAAATATCTCTTTATTATAGACTAGCTCTAGATAAGCCTAGAGCTTACTCTTAATCTAGATACTAAATTAGAAGCGATTTAGTACTATTTTAGGATATCTAAAGTATCCTATGATTTCTACCTTAGAAAATAGATATCTATCTTTTCTTTTATAATATATAAATAAATTATAACTAGTTATAGCCTTATTTCTTAAGGATTAATATATATAAGAAGCTAATATAATTAGTAAAGAAGCTTCTAAGCTCTAATCTAGATTATAAACTATTTATTTTAATCTTAAATAAAAATTATTTTCTATTTAGTCTTTTTTTACTAGATTCTTATCTTCTATAAGCTCTTAGAATTTAGTAGTCTATTTAGTAATAAGATAGAAATTAGCTATATTCTTTACTATTCTAGTATTAACCTATTTATATATCTTCTTAATAAGAGTATAATAATTATATAATATAGTAATTATTTTCTAATATAAATAAGATATTAAGATTAATATATCTAGATTAGTAAAAGCTTTAATTCTAGCTATAATGTTTACTATAGACTTAATTAGAGTCTAAGTAAATAATTAATTATAAAAATATTATATATATTATAACTATATTACTATTATTACTTTAACATACTAAGTTATAGGAACTATAATTTAGTATATTTAGTATAGAAATAAATTAAAAGTAAAATAATATCTAAGAGTAAATTAAAACTTTTAAGTTACTATATATTATATTAAATAAAGAAATATATATTATATATAAGTAGAAGTTCTTTAATATTCCTTAAACTTCTATTAATTTCTTATACTATTCTTTATTTAAAATTAAGATTAATTCTATAGAAAGAGAGAGAATATTTATTATAAAAGAAAAGATAGTTATTCATTTTTTTAAGATAGGAATTATAGAATACCTTAGATATTCTAAAATAGTACTAAATTACTTCTAATTTAATATCTAGATTAAGAGTAAGCTCTAGACTTATCTAAAGCTAATTTATAATAAAGAAATATTTAAAGTAAGATTACCATAAATTATTTACTTAGCTCTTACTTCCTCTATATTAAGGAAGAAGAAGAATCTATCTCTTTAATTCTTTCCTTCCTTAAGAATTAGTTTAAAACTAATATGATCTATATTATCTTAGACTTTAATATAGGCTAAATTAGGTTAAGGGTAAAGAACCTTTAGTGTTAGCTAGGCTTTATAGAAATCTATATATATTTTATTAATAAGTAAACTACTGGTTTACTATATAAATTTATAAGGAATTAAAGGGCTAGATAAGAAGATAGTAAAGAAGATTAGAAAGGAAGATAAAATAGTACTAATATAGTATAGATTTAAGTAGATAACGTGGAGATTTGATAATAATATATTTATCTATACCTTATGGATAAACCTCCTTATAATTAGCTTTATATAAGATTAATACTATCATTTACTAATACTAGAAGCTATAAGACCCTTTTTATTAATGAAATAATTTAATTCAAATAATCAGTATTATATTATAGTTTATGATTTTATTTTTAACATCACTAGAATATATTATCTTTAGTAATCAACTAAAATAAGTAATAACTTAGCGTTGGCTCAAACCACCAAAGTTTCATGTTAAAATACAATATCTAGCCTTTTTTTATCAGATGGATTTCGAGAAGTTTAAATTCCAAGTTCAACCAAAAAAGGGATCAATATTCATCATTTATGGATCTTCAATGGATGACTATCCTAATGTCAAAGCCTATAATTCACTATACTACTTTAACATGAAAAAGATAACCAAAAGTGGTCCAGTGGCCAATTGACTTCTCCAGCTCAACCGATGTGAAAAAAGGAGCGTTACATGTTATAAAATATTCAATCCGAATTCCTCAAGCACATCGCGATTACCTTTGTTTTTGGAAGGAGCAATTTCGAGGCGGGTTACATAATCTGGTGATTAGTCATACACTGATAAGAGATCTGCGGGTGTTATCGAAATTCTTCACTGTCAAATATTTTATTTGATTCTTCCCGTCTTTCAACCTCCCTATCGTTCGCCCCAACCCACTTAAGGAACCATCATGGGTGTTCAAAAGAAAGTTCGCAAGTTTGCAGTCACCAAGAGAGCAATCTCTCAACGCGATAATCGCCTGTGTGTTTCCCCTCTTCACTGCTTCCGGCAACTAGATAGCATTTACTGACAACGCCATCTAGCAAAGCAAATGACAAGGACGATAAGAAAGGAAAACCCAGCAAAGATGATGTTGTTCGAGAAGCGTAAGTTCTTCAAATCGTTATTGAGACTCAAAGAAGTCACCATTCGCTGACAATGTGGTTCTAGACCCCAGGCTCCTTCATCACTCTTTTTCCAATATAATACGGCCCTCGCGCCACCGTATTCCGTTCTTGTTGACACCAACTTCATATCTCACACCATTCAGCATAAGCTTGATGTCATTCCAACCATGATGGACTGCCTGTATGCCAAGTGTATCCCTGTCATCACTGATTGTGTGCTGGCCGAGCTGGAGAAGCTGGGCCAGAAGTATCGTCTGGCTCTCCGTGTTGCTAAGGACCCTCGATTTGAGAGAATCAAATGCGACCATCCAGGCACATATGCCGATGATTGCCTGGTTGATCGGGTCATCAAACATCGTGTTTATATTGTGGCAACTAACGATCGTGATCTTAAAAGGCGGATTCGGTACGTCGCACTGGTCTTCCATTTTTCCTCGCAAACAGATAGACAACATGATGGGGACCTTAGTTCTAACCTAGCGTACAGGAAAATCCCCGGTGCACCCATAATGAGCGTTGCTCGCGGAAAATATGTCATTGAAAGACTGCCTGATGCTCCCGAGAAGTGAGGACACTATCCATGTGTCCAATATTTTTACACGTCCTAGACCGCCCTCACGCCTACTGCTCCTGCCTTTTGCGAGGGGACTGCCAAGCGGACCTGCTCATCAAATTCGACCTAAAGGTCTGCCTTGAGAGTTCATCATTGACTTGGTATAATCACCGCCGTCCGACAGACACATAAACACCTCTACCCGATTCATCGTCAAGTGCCTTGAATCTTTAATCCGAAACCAGATGGAATTGGCCAAATCATATGGTTCTTGTGATGTCGCACGGCAAATGTTCTCATTATACCCGCGCCGGTTCTATGTGCGCTGTAAGCTAGGGATTTAGATCCGCCGGTATTGATTTTTGACTGTGCATAGTTTATTCCTCACCCTTGTGGTGGTATCGTGGGAAGCTCGGATGGGCCTGGCCTTATCCTGGGACCCCAGTTGAATCTGCAAGACTGTTCTCTCAAATTGCGCTTAGTCCGTGCCCCTGGCCTATGGCCGTATTCCTTCCACCTCTAATCAGTAACCAACCCTCGTCATAGACGGGGTTTTGACTCTTTGTCGGGCTCAAACTCATCAACAACAAAGTATAAAATGACCGGCAGACCACTTGAATGGTCCATGTCATTAAGAAAGCCTGTGATTTAATTCTATAATATTGGTGTCCTAGTGAAGAAACTTAAAGAGAAGAAGAATTGAACACAAACAAGAAGTTTTTCAATCAATATGCAAATTGCTTATACTATGTATACATGGGGCTTCTTATCGTGCGGATCTTAAGAACCCAACAACTCCACGGCAGTACCCGACCAGTTCAGCAAGACGCTTTCCTTCCTGTTCCTGTTCATGGGTCCAAGAGGTAAGGGCTTCTTGCAAAAGACGGTATTCAGGATCATCCCGTCGAGAACAAAGTCCCACTGTGTCAGCATGGATCTTCAGGAATACCGCCATCCATGCGTTAACCAGCTCAAAATCTCTTCTCAGCTTCAGACGGATTGTAAGGGCTTGGATGAAACTAGAGAGTTCAGAGAATCCGTTGCGCGCCCGAGGATCCAGAGAACGAATCTCCAAGTCAGCTCGTGCTGGAGAAAGGGATTTGAGATGCTCAATCAAAGGATCGTAATTCCCAGATCCGTGACCAGACTTGAGGAATTGCGTGATGGTGGATTCTGAACCAACCTCCCCCATTGACATCTTGGACACACGAGATCGCTCTGCCTCTACATTGTTAGAGAGAGCGCCGGCCTCGGCGGCCTCAGCAGCGGCTTGATGCGCGGGTTGAGAGTGTGCATCGCCGAGCATGGAGGGAAGAAAGAATGGTGCCTTCTCAGGAGCTTTGGGTGCTTCCTTGGGCCGATTGCGTTCCTAAGTTATTGTTAGTGAGAGCACCGCACGCATGTTGGAAGAGAGAGCGTTATATACCTTGATGGAGTCAAGATGAACCAAAGCCTGCCATTTGCTCTTAGGGACCAGACTGAGAGTGACCATATCCTGCCGCAGCTGCTCGCTTGTCAGCACGGGTCCCTCTGCCTCGTCTGCCTCGGGGGCCTCCATGAAGGCCGCTTCAACAAGACCCGCGCCGCTCTCGCCCGATGTTGTGGGCACACCGACATCCTCGATGTGATCCTCGTCCATATTCTTGGTAGATACGGGCATGAAAAGGCTACGGTTGCTCCAGAGGCTGATGCCAATGCTTCCGGCATGTGCCGTAGCGAGGAATTCTCCAGTAGATGACATCGCCAACGAGACGCATGTGCTGGAAACGCGGAAGATATCGATGAGATGTCCAGTGGGCAGGTCCCAGATCCGTATCACAGAATCCATGGACGCCGCAATGATCCACCGGCCATCGTTGGAGAAGATGAAATCGTTGACTTGACCCACGCAGCCCCAGAATTCACGCACTAGCTTCCTGGTCTCAAGATCAACCACACGAATGGAGAGGTCATCACAGCTGAAGGCGACCAGTTCGCTCGTCTTACTGTAGCGAATGCCAGTTACCGATGCCATGGGATTCCAATCCAATTCATCTAGCAAAGAGCCCGAGAGCAGATCCCAAAACTATTAAGAGAAAGAAACGATGTCAGCATCGACGGTGTGAAAAGCTGTTTAAGACGATAAAGGGCTTTACCTTAACCTTGCCATCCAGACCGCAACTGATGACGGTCCGGTTAAGATTATCAATCATCAATCCAGTCACTGCCTTAGTGTGTCTTGAATCTGCAGGGCGCGAGGAGACAAATGCCGAATCATTCCTCTCCTGTACCTTCGTGGCACGAGACTTGGATCCCCGGGATGGGAAGCTCTGCCGATGTTGGCCGGACTGCAGATTAAACATATCGATAGAACCCCCTGCAGATCCAATGACCGCAAAAGTTCCACACTGAGAAACAGCCACACTCTATGATGCCTCTATTAGCCAAAATGAAATTATGGGGCCCGATACAGCGGATGCCAAACATACCTTGACTTCGGTTCCATCGCCAGTTGCAAACGCCCAACGGCCAGCTTTCTTCTTTCCCCAGAACCAAGTCCGCGCATACTTGTCCCCTCGGTGGCCGGTAACGACGCTTTCCCATCCAGTGGAGTTGGTGGATTCGGTATTGGTGAACTTAGGGTTCGACCAAATGGGGCCTGACGTAGTGATGCCCATACCTCCGTCTCGATTTAGGGAACATGCAATACAGGTCACCTCGGATGCCTTGAGAGGGTCAACTACCGAGCTGGATGGATCAGTGGGACCCAGTTTTTTCGACTTGCTGTCTACATTTCCTTGCGAAATTTCGGCGTGTTGGCTGTCTTTGCGTAAGCTTAACCCCCAGAGGCTACAATCTTTGCTTGCGCTGAGAAGCCATTTTCCACCAGAGTCAGATCCATCTGAGGCGGCTGGCAAGAATTCTAGCGCGCTGACGGCGGCGGAGTGTCCCCCTCGTACATGGAGCGGTCGGGGTGTCGGAGAGAAGGGGGTCTCGTCGAAGATCCATGTTTTCAAGGCATTGTCGTCCCCTGAGGACACGAGCACTGGCTGTCCATCCAAGAACTCGACACGATTCACACCTGTGCCGTTGTCTCGATTTGCTACCCGATGGGCCCCACGGAGAATACCAGCCACCCGGCCCCCATCATTCAAATCCCACATGGTAATATCACCACTTCCACTGGCGGCAGTGGCCATGACACCGGCCTTTCGGCCATCGTGACCTGCGCCCAGACCATCACTTCGGAACGTGATCGATGTCACCGGCAGAGCGCGTGCCGAGGGAGTCCGTAAAGACAATACGAGTTGCCCCGAGTCGACATTCTGAATCGACAAGGCACCGCTCTTGTGGGCAATGGCCAGGAGAGACAGCGCGGGGGTTGGATGAATCGCCGTTATCGGTCCTGAGTCGGACGACGGTGGGGGTAGCGTATGCAGTAGCTTTCCGCTCCGGATATTCCAGATATCCACGGCACCATCCATGCGCCCCACGAAGATCTTGTTTAGATACGTCGGCATGTTGCACAATAGTCCCGCATAGATGGGCTCGCCCACAGAACCAGAGTTTGTCTGGGGCCGTAAACTGGCGTAGTGCTCGTAACTCCCTGTCTTCCACACTTCAAGACCGCCAGTCCAGCAGCCAACAACCCACGATCCAAATACCACCAAGCGTTCAATGGGCCCATCCAGATTGGGGCTTTCCAGGGATGCGACTCGTTTACCACGCTTAAACACCCAGATTCCACCGGGGGAACGGGGGCGGAGGAAGCCCCAAGCAGCGAACACCTTATCTTGCCAGGCGCATGTCGCCGTAATAAACTCCGGGGTTTGCGGCCGACTCAAAAAGATCAGACTCAAGCCTCGTCGTAAATCATAGGTCTGTAGCGTATGGCCTACCGATGTCGTGATCTGATAAGTAGACTTTCCCAGGCGCACACTAGTGAATGGTACTGAAGTTGGAGACACGAGTCCCAGTGTCTTTGAAAGTCTATTAGCACGATAATCTTCAAAAGGAGAAAAAACATTGCGACAAGATCAACTCAGATTAGACTCGGTTTTGAACATACCCGGAAGGGAGCGAAAATTTTGGAGCCCCCACGCTGGTTAGCTACCCTCTTTTCTTCATTGAGAGCCCTCTTCTGCCTCTTGGCTAGAGGCAAGTCAAAGGTATCATTGGCCATAGCCGGCATGGTGAGGTATTCTTTTGAACTTGGGCAGTAGTATTGGGACAAAGGTGAGAAAAGGGAGGAATGGTAAGAGGAGTGAAGATAGGCGATCAGTTATATCACACTACCCGAGAAACCAGAATCAAGATATAATCAACGAGTGTACATCTTTTGAATCTTGTCCTCCATTGAAGTTGCGTTTCCGCGTGAGATTTTTTTTTTTTCCCCTTCTCCGCCTCGAAGCTCCCACACCGCCTTTGGGGATCAGTATCCACACATGCATACATATAAACCTTTAGGGAGTATTCCTGACAGGAATGGGTTTAGGCTTCTGTGCTGATGTTGTATATACAATTAGCTTGGCATATTCAAGAGCTTTATAAGCCTTAGCATCTACGTATAACTACCTATATATCCATGGATATATAGAAGAATCTCGACAAGACCCGAAGGATCAATGATTCAAAATAAGCTTGGAATGAAAGGAAAAAGCAAATACAATATACGGATACCTAGACATACCTAATATATGAGAGATAACCTTGAAACATTGACTGATCTCCATCTTTCCAAGGTTGCCACCTGCGCACTGGGATAAGGTTATGTTTATGCTTTCGGAAAAAATGTTCGCTTTCGTCCACGGACTCTCACAGTTTTCTCTCTCTCATTCCTCTTTGCACTCTCGTGAAATAAAACCCACAACTTCCTTTGACATCTACAATTATCAAGTAATGTCTTCAATTTCGTCACCTGTACAGATTCAAGGTTGATTGCTGGTTTTCGACCTCCGGAGAGAACCCGCACCTTCTCCCCCACTGCCCCTCTATCACCGACCCGAGATTCCTTTCTTTTCTCTTCGCACCTACGTCTTATCGATCCTGGTAAACCACCCGGCGTGATGGAATCAGACAATGGCCAGGGCAGCAGCCCACCTGCCGACCTGGGCTCATCAAAAGGCGTTTTTGAACAGATCCTAGGTTCAGGCTCACCGCAGCTCTCCGTGGATCCGGAGCAGAAGGAGATCCCCCCAACAGAGCCCTTGACATCAACTCGACCCCATGGCCAAAATTCTCCGATGAAGCCTAGTCGAGCGGATCCGACCCCAGATACTCGCTCGGTCCCGCGTTTTGGCCATTCCAACCGCTCTTCCAGTCGCACCCCCCGACGATTCAGCGGCAGTACGGCAGCAAGTTCTATCAGTGAACTGGAGCCCAGTGGGTCTAAATTGTGGAGGATTGGTGTCTGTGCCCTAGATGTGAAAGCCCGCAGCAAGCCAAGCCAGAATATCCTCACTCGACTTCAAGCCAAGGGCGAATTTGAGGTGATTGTTTTTGGAGACAAGGTGATTCTGGACGAAGATGTGGAGAATTGGCCGGTGTGTGATTTCCTGATTGCTTTCTTCTCGGATGGGTTCCCTCTGGATAAATCCATCGCCTATGCCAAACTCCGGAAGCCTATCTGCGTCAATGATTTGCCGATGCAAAAGGTGCTGTGGGACCGACGATTATGTCTGAAGATTTTGGACCAAATGGGAGTCCCCACACCCAAGAGAGTGGAGGTGAATCGTGATGGCGGCCCAGTTCTGGAATCGCCGGATCTCGCTCAGCACGTCTACCGACTGACGGGGGTCAAACTGGAGGGCCCTGAAGATGGCACGGGAGGCGGTGCCCGGAGAACCCAGCAGGTATCCATGTCGGAGGATGGCGAGTCGCTGATTGTGGATGGCAAAGTTTTTCGGAAGCCCTTCGTGGAGAAACCCGTCAACGGGGAAGACCACAATATTCATATCTATTTCCCCAACGATCAACAATATGGCGGCGGTGGACGGAAGCTTTTCCGAAAAGTCGGCAACAAGAGCTCGGAATATGATCCCAACCTCTCCGTACCTCGTTCGGTCACGGAGACCGAGGCAAGCTACTTGTATGAACAGTTCCTTCGGGTGGACAATGCCGAAGATGTAAAAGCGTATACAGTGGGCCCTGACTTTTGTCATGCCGAGACACGCAAGTCACCCGTTGTCGACGGCCTCGTCCGTCGAAACACCCACGGTAAAGAACTACGATACATCACCCAGCTGAGCAAAGAGGAAGCCGCGATTGCCTCGAAGATATCGAACGGATTTGGCCAGAGAATCTGCGGTTTTGATATGCTTCGTGTGGGAGACAAGAGCTACGTGATTGATGTGAATGGCTGGAGTTTTGTCAAGGACAACAATGACTACTACGATAAATGTGCCCATATCTTGCGAGATACTTTCTGGAACGAGATGCGCAAGGTTGAGGGCTCAATGGAGCTCTCCGAACCCCCTTCACCGGACTTAGGTCAATCTAGAAGAAGTACGGCGGGCTCTCATCGGCAAGCGTTGAAGACATTGTTGAAGTCCCCAAGTACTTCTCGACTCTATGGTAGTCAGCATGTCCCCAGAGCTCCCGACGCGCCTTCATCAGATGTATCGACTGGGGCTCCTTCTTTAGCATCCTCGTCTGGGTTAGAAAGCGCCGAACCTATCGTGAATCCGAGTAATCCGAACTCGAGAGAATGCCAGCAAGACTCCCGTGGCTACAGCCCTTCTAATACGAAGTCACCGGCTGTTTCCCTTCACCAAGCCAGCGAAGGAGTCCTACCGCCTCTTCCGGCTTCGAAACACTCCTGGAAACTCAAGGGAATGGTAGCCGTCATCCGGCACGCCGATCGAACACCTAAGCAAAAGTTCAAATTCACCTTTCATAGTCAGCCTTTTGTGGATCTTCTAAAGGGGCACCAAGAGGAGGTGGTGATCAAGGGAGCTGCGGCCCTCTCCAGTGTCTCTGATGCAGTCAAACTAGCCCTGGAACAAGAGCTCGAGGATGTGGACAAATTAAATCTTCTTCGTGTATCCTTGGAGAAGAAGGGCGGCTGGCCTGGGACCAAAGTACAAATCAAGCCTATGTTCCGGAAGCGCCGACCCGAGGAAATGCGGGAGCAAGACCCATCTCCAGCCTCTACATCGCCACTAGGTCAAACGGCTCCCGAGGAACCTGCTTCGCCCATACATGGTGAAGCTGGGCAAGACAGCGAGGCCTTGCGCAGACCACAGACGCGGAGCGACTCCATCTCTGGCCCTACGTTCTCTAGATTTTCCGCCGTCGAGAATGACTTGATCTTGGATAAACTCCAGTTGATCATCAAATGGGGAGGGGAGCCTACACACGCAGCACGCTATCAATCGCAGGACCTGGGCTTGAACATGCGCGACGATCTCAAGCTGATGAATAAAGAGGCTCTCAATAATGTCCGCCTTTTCACCAGCTCCGAGCGCCGAGTAAGCACAAGTGGTAAGTAGGATCTGTTCTATTCGCCTTCGTCTCTTTTATTCCTGCTGACAAAATGGAACAGCTCAAATTTGGGCTTGCTCTTTTCTGGACCAAAAAGAAATCCCAGTAGACCTTATTCAAGTTCGAAAGGATCTGCTTGATGATTCCAATGCCGCCAAAGATGTAATGGATAAAGTCAAAAAGAAGCTGAAGCTGCTCCTGAGGGAGGGGTCTGCGCCTTCACAATTCGCATGGCCTAAGGATACCAACATCCCCGAACCATCCGTCGTTCTTTCTACGGTGGTGGAGTTGATGAAGTTTCATCGGAGCGTCATGCGCCATAATTTTGAAAAGTTGGAACCCTCATTACAGAACGCCGAGGATCCCGATCAGCCAGATTCTCAACCTGACCAACCCCATATCGCCAATGTCCAAGGGCGATGGTGCGCGGGAGAAGACCCCCGGCTCTTCAAAGAGCGATGGGAAAAGCTCTTTGCCGAGTTTTGTGATACAGAAAAGGTAGACCCCAGCAAATTGTCCGAACTTTACGATAGCATGAAGTTTGATGCTCTACACAATCGACAGTTTCTGGAATGGGTCTTTATGCCACCAGACAGCGACCGTGATGACGATGACAAGTGCAGTGTCAAAGGCAAGAGTCCGTCTATCGTGGAAAGTAAGAACGGAGCAGAGGTTGGGAATGAGAAAATTGAAGAACGTGCCGAAAACCAGACACTGGCCCAGCGGTTTGGCTTGAAAAAGCGACTTCAGGCACTCGAGTCTCTACCGCACCTTCGGGCGCTGGACGACTCGTACGACCATTACTTCAAGCTCTACCCTGGCTCGAACTCCAACAAGTGCAAGATGGACGAGCGCCTTTCTAAGCTCCGGGAGCTATACAAGCTTGCCAAAGTTCTTTTTGACTACGTCACACCACAGGAATATGGCATCACGGACAGCGAGAAACTTGAGATCGGTCTTCTTACATCTCTACCGCTTCTTCAAGAAATCGTTCGTGATTTAGAAGAAGTGCAGGCCTCTCCTGATGCGAAATCGTTCTTTTACTTCACCAAGGAGTCCCACATTTACACGCTTTTGAACTGCATCCTCGAGGGTGGGATCCAGACCAAGATCGCTCGCAGCACCATTCCCGAGCTCGACTATCTCTCTCAGATCTGCTTCGAACTCTACGAAGCCCGGGATAGCGAGTCCGATGTCAACTCCTATTCCATCCGCATCTCCATCAGCCCCGGGTGCCACGCTTTCGATCCACTTGATGTGCAACTCGACTCCCGGCACGCAATCGGATGTGCGCCACGACGCAGTTTGACGGCACATCAGGATTGGAAAGAGGTGATTGAGACCCTCAAAGCGAAATTCGATACGTAAGTGGACCTTGACTCTCCCCATCTTGATGGTATACTGACTAGTCTTTCAGGGTCAAACTCCCCAAGTCCTTTATTGCTGTGAACTTGAGTGATAAACACCTGCCATCACAAGAACAAGAGACTTACTAGAGCATTGGTGGATGTGTTTTAGTTTCGATAAACTGTATCTATACTTTGTACAATGTTACTTGTTATAGCTTGTAAAGTCATTTGACATCGTTCGGGTCCACAGAGAACCCCGCCAAATTTGGCTTATCGATAATGCTTATCAACTGAACGTCTTGGCACCGCAGCATACTTTACAAATCCATATATCCCCCTCGCTTTGGAGATAGTCGACCACCCCCTACAATGGCCCCAGTTCCATTTGACTGGGACACTGAGATACACACAGCAGAGGCCACGGGAGACATTCTGCAATGTACTTCCCCCACTGGAGCCCAAGGGTACATTCATTTCACCAATATCATCGGAGTTCTGCCCTCTACGTCTTTGTCCGGATACCAGGTGCTATTCCTTGTGAACCCGGGTCAAAATGACGAGGGGCTCGGGTACTTGGAAAAAACAGATATTCCGTTCCTGCCCCCTTCACTGTCACCCTTCGTAGTGAAACTTCCAGACCATCTACGACACTCCGAGCCAGTGCAGGTCATCATATCTACCCTGTCGGGGACGGGATCAGCCCAAACAGTGTTTCGAGATATCATAGAGCCCTTTCTCTCCCTTCTAGGCATCAATCACCAGGCTCACGAAACACAGTCCACTCAGACTATCAGCGAGCTTTCCCGATCTCAGTTCCTGGAGCGCGCCTGCGCAGGAACCCCTCAGACCATTATCCTCCTTTCAGGTGATGGGGGCCTTGTTGACATTCTCGATGTTTTCTATAAATCTACCCAATCCGTTCAAAGGCCCCCACAGATTGCCCTCGTCCCTTGTGGAACTGGCAATGCCATGGCGAGCTCTATTGGGCTACGATCTGGTCCAGCCTCAAGCCTCGTGGCATTGCTTCGTGGTGGACCATCGCCCGTACCGATCTTTGCGGCGACGTTGTCTCCCGGAAGTCAACTCGTCATTAACGAGGGGCTCCAGAGACTACCTATAAGTCCTGAGCCCGCTGCATCCCATCAAACCATCTATGGTGCTGTCGTGGCCAGTTGGGGACTACATGCAGCATTAGTTGCCGACAGCGACACAGTGGAATATCGCAAGTTCGGGTCAGAGAGGTTCAAGATGGCAGCCAAAGAACTTTTGTACCCGTCTGACGGCACGGCGCCTCATCGATTTCAAGGCAAGATCACCTATCTGACGACAGATGGACAGGAAAAAACAACTGAGAGTGACGAACATATGTATGTTCTGGCTAGTCTCGTTCCTCGACTGGAGAAAGACTTTCTCATTTCCCCGGATTCGGAGCCACTGGGGGAACAAATGCGGTTCTTACACTTCGGCCCTCTCCCCGCGGAAGAAGCAATGCGCCTCATGACCCTGGCCTACCAAGGAGGCCAGCATGTGCAGGAGGCAACAGTCACCTATACCGCCGTTGAACAACTACGAATCGAGTTCCAGGAAGACTTAGAACGATGGAGACGAGTGTGCATTGACGGCAAAATTGTCGTGATAGAGAAAGGCGGATGGCTAGAGTTGCGTAAAGAGCCCCGGCAGCTTCTCCAGATCATTAAACCATGAAACTATGCATGGGTTCATTGTAGGACGGAATATGAGATTTGTATCCTATGCAATAACTGGACCTTTCTTCTCCCCTTTATGGCATCATCAATTTCAAAAATCTTCAAATTATCTACATTGATATCTATATCCACAATCATATGGAACATGTATACCATAAATGCACGAGTGTTGTGATTGATGTTCACGCATGATCGACAGCCGCAATCTGCCGTCTCCCCCGAATTTACCGACTATCCCGTTCTTGCGCCTTCATCCATATGGCAGATCGGCCATGTCGTTAACTTGAATATACTCTCTCGTCAGATAATGGACCCGTCTGCTGAATTCGATGCTGATCACGCCCAGAACGTATTCAGCTTCGCAAACGCCAGACCGAGCGGTATTCGATCCCGGCACTGAGGGCGTGTTCCGCTTCTACACGCTTGCTGGGTGGCGCCAGAGCCTCGTGAACTCAAAACCGTCCCCGGAGATGCTGTTGACTTATCAAACGGGCAGTGTAAGAGTTGGGGAGGTTGTCAGGTTTGTTTCGTCTCCCCTATAACTCCGCTCGCCGCACCCTTCCGGCGAACCGCATGGATTCTGAATAATCCACGAAGCTGACGAGCACACCTGAATAGATACACGTTGACCTACACGCCAGCTGCCGATCCCATCCTACCTCTGCCAACTCAACTTTACGTTAGGGTAAAAAATGCCTCGGCCATTCCGCTGCGAGCCGCCTACCTCCACGGCCCGTACAGCCTTTACGCATCCTGCTATCCATCTACATTCGACCCCAACAGCAAGTATGATGAACAAGAAACAGATGGCATCCCACAGTTTGAACCGTATCTGAAAGCCGGTGGGAACTGGGATGCGACCATCAAGTTGCCGACCTCTTTCGGAGGCTCTCACAACCTCGCTGCCGGTCACATGGGGCTTAATGGTCCCTCGACGGTAACATGGGTAATTGAGATTGTGTCACAGGTGATATTCTCCAACAGTGCAGCTGTTCATTTTGAAATGCTGGTCGCTCGTGACGCCAAATCGTTGGATTTCTTTTCAGCTGGTGGGACTTCAGCGGCTGGAATGGGGCCTCCTGGGAAGTTACAGGATCACTGGCTGCCAGAGACCAAGGGTTTGCAGGTACTGGCTACCACAGGGGTGTTTTCTAAGTCTATCACACTACGTGTGGATGATACAACTAGTCTGTGGAATAGTCCACCATTGCCGTCAAAAACTAGTCCGGTCGAGACTGACTCTGGGGTTGAAACCCACATTGGTGAATCAGCAGAGCCGGGGAGTGTGACCGAAAGTTCCCACCATATACCGCCAAAGAAGCGGATACACTTGGTTGTGGTGACCCATGGCTTGCACAGTAATCTGGGTGCGGACATGCTCTATCTCAAGGAAAGCATTGATGCGGCTACGAACAAGACCACGAAGAAAGATAATCAAGAGAATACCGAGGCCGATGACGAGGAAGTCATTGTTCGGGGGTTCTCAGGCAATGCGGTTCGCACCGAACGTGGCATTCAGTATCTAGGAAAACGCTTGGCCAAGTATATCTTGTTGATGACATATCCTGATCAACCCTACTTCCCTCTGAAGACCTCCAAGTCCAAAACATTTCCTCGCCCTTTTAGTTCCCGGAAGGATGAGCCTAATCTCTCATCGGATCCTCATGCTTCTGTGGATCAAGATGGGCTTGCTGGTGGGGATGACCATGCATACCAAATTACCGGCATTAGCTTCATAGGACACTCTCTGGGTGGTCTGATTCAAACATATGCTATCGCGTATATTCACAAACACTCTCCCCGTTTCTTCGAGCAGATCAGACCGATCAACTTTATTGCCCTCGCAACCCCATTTCTGGGACTTAGCAACGAGAACCCCATGTACGTTCGATTTGCCCTGGACTTGGGCCTTGTCGGTCGAACAGGACAAGATCTTGGGTTGAGCTGGACGGCACCGAAGGTACGAAGCGGTTGGGGAGCCATTATTGGTGGGCGAGGTGACTCGGCCAAAGATCAAAGCAACCCCGATCCAGGGTCCAAGCCGCTTCTGCGAATCCTGCCCTGTGGGCCCGCTCATGAGGCCTTGCAGAAGTTTCAGCATCGCACCGTTTACTCGAATGTCGTCAATGATGGAATTGTTCCCTTGCGGACCTCTTGTTTGCTTTTCCTGGACTGGAGAGGCCTTGATCGAGTGGAGAAGGCGAGAAGAGACATCGGTCTGGTAGGAACCATGGCAGAATGGGGTTGGGCCGAGTTGACTGGAGCCAATTCGAAGTCCCCTCAAATTGTTCGTACTGGTGAAGCACCAGGACTGGCAGATGGTACTTCTTCGTTGGATGAGCACGAAGCTTTGGCTCTGGAAGACCCATCTTCCCCCGCCTCTGGACAGTTTATTGCGTCGAAAAGACATTCATCACATCACAGCCAAGTGACAGATGGTGGATCGAAGGATAATGTTGCTGGAAGTGCCTCTTCTGGTCCTCTTAGCACTTTCTTCTCCCTGTTCCGTGCCAAGGAGACCAAGTCTCCTCCGCGCCCGAAACATACCAAAATTTATAGGCGCAGCCAGACTCTCGCGTCATTTGACGCCAATCAAAGTCCTGCCCCTTTAGTTCGGGGAAATTCCTTATATGAGGGTGAAGAAGGATTGCATACGCCACCGAAGACCACCTTTTTTGAGTGTGCAGGCGACTTGCTGATGCCACCTTTACCCCCCACCGACTTTCTTTTGGATCCTTCAGCCCGTCCACGGACCATCTTCCATGATCGAATTTATCACTCGGACGACATCCCACCCCCATTACCCGTGAAACGACGAACCATCGCGTTCAGTTCTTTGCAGAATAAGAGCTCGAAAACGGCCCCCGCGGCCACTCAACTCCCTTCCAACTCCGGCGTCTCTGCCAACCTTGGAGAAAGTGGACTGAAGGTCGAAGAGAAGATTGCTCGCGCCTATCACCGCGATTTGACCTGGCGCAAGGTCCTTGTGCGTCTCGAACCTGACGCACATAACAACATAATCGTACGACGAATGTTCACCAATGCCTATGGATGGCCTGTCGTGAAGCACTTGGTCGATACGCACTTTGGACATACTGACGCTGTAGAGACGGATGATGTATTGCAGCAAACGGTTGAGAGGGCCAAGTCACCCGGTATTGGGCCCAGTAGCTCCGGTGATGAAGTTGAAGGCCAACATGACGACTCCAGTCAGGATTCAGAACAAACCCCTCGTATGGGTCCGGATCATCTGCATGATTTCCCGGGGCCTTCTCGACTCTCGGCGCATTCCCCAATCCATGAAAGAGCCGAAACTTTCCCGGCTGAGCATGAATCCCACAAGACGACCAGCACCAATGGACAATCTCACTATACGGACGTGTCGCGACAGGATTCCGCGCGGTGGACGGATCGCCACGTAGATGAAGACGATGATTGTGAATCCGGGCTTGACGAGAAGGATGACGCTGGCTATCGTTGGTCCCCCACGCTGCGGCCATGAAAATGAAAGCCTTGGAACGCCGAGAACCCGACGCGGGAATTAAGAATAAGAAGATTTTGTATATAGCATGCATACCCTGTAATTAATACCCCCTATCAAGATTCCACATATGAATGAGATCATTCCTGTATTGCCGCTAGTAGTCCAATCGGCCTTGGATGTTGCTCCAGAACTCTTCCACGATCTCCTTCTGTCCTGCCTCGGGGGCTCCTCGAACCGCCAGATACTTTCGCCCATCCAGAGAAGCCTTCCATCCACCGGGATTCCCATCCACTATGATGCCTCCTGCCTCGGTCAGGATGACCCATGCTGCACAGACATCCCACTCCCAGCATCCCCCTTCCCAGTACAGGTCCATGGTACCCTCCGCAACCGCGCACATGTTGAGTGCAGCCGATCCCAGACTCCGCATGGAGCGCACCATCGCGCCCCCATCCTCTTTCGCCTGACCCAGTTTCGCGAAGGTACGAACTTTGGTGTCCCAATTGGGCCCGCTGCGATCGGAGCCCCATTCGATGCTGATGAGAGCATTGGCAAGCCCAGAAAGGGGCTCTACAGTCTCTCCCTTTAGCGGCAGGCGGGTTTCCCGGTTTAAAAATGCGCCTTGGCCTCGAACAGCAGAATGTAAGGTCTTGGTGAACGGGTTGTAGACCACTCCCACGGCAGGAACTCGGCCCACGGCAAAGCCCAGAGAGACACAGGCATACGGGAAACTGTGGACGAAGTTCACAGTTCCATCAATTGGATCCACGATGAACGTGGGGGCATCGGTCAAAGGCTGATTGGGATCATAGGTCTCCTCGCCATGAAACCTATTGCAGATTATCAGCGATGTACACCCGATGGCAATGAAGCCCCTACACGTAATCGGGAAATTTCTCCTTGAGTGACGTCGAAATCATCTTCTCCACTGCACGGTCATATTCTGTGACCAGGTCGGCACCTACAAGGCTCAATTCCCATGTTAGTACTCTGTATACATGTACTCTTTACATAAAAGTATTCACGAACTGTTCTTCTTGGACCCGGTACCACTGGTTTCAGGCAGAGCATTCGTGATAATCTCACCCGCCCGGTGGGCCAGGGACACCAGAAAGTCATGAATCTCATTCAAATCAGGGGTAGTCATTGTGTGCAACGTTGTAGACTGATAGGTAGAAATGAAGTGCGGTAGAGAAGAGGGGAAGAAAACGGGTCACGCTAGAGAAGTTAATGAGGGGATTATAGATATTACATTTGTAGCTGATTATTCCAATTAGATCAATATTTAGTTTGTGACTATACTCTTCTATCATACATTGTCATACATCCTATTCCATAGATATACAAATGTATACTTATAAATCTACACCCATGATTTGTCAAGATATGGAATGACGCCGAACTTCTCCCCCCACTTTCGCGATTCAAAAAAATTGTGAATTGCCCCACACTTACAACTCATACTCCTACACTCAACATCATGCCGACAGTCACAGAGGAGGTATGTTGTATTCTCTTTCTGACATAGATCCTGCTGACTCGAAGGTTCAGCTGGTGGATTTTCTTCACCACGGAAATTCACAAATCCGTCAAATCGGTACGATCTCAATCCTTTCTGTACTCGAACCCTGGCTAATAATAAATCTTTGGATAGCTTGTGAGAACCTTGTCGGCTACTCTATCGCTCAACCTAGCCTATTCAAACGGCACCAATTACTTCCTATCCGGGATCTGAAGCTGTTAACTCGGGACTACACCGTACGTGCGATGCGACATCATCCCCCCCCCCCCGGCCACAAACGCTCAATTCCAGCAACTGATCCCATATCTTGCCCGGTAGCCGATTGCCAAGAATGTTTTGACGATCCTTGTCAATCTCTCGGCCGATGAAGAGATTCTAAAGGCCTTAGCAGAGGATGACGAGTACATCGAGACCCTCTTGTTGAAACTGACGGTTAGTGAACCTCCAATCTCGTCCCTTGAACCCAGAGAGAAGCTGAACTGATCATCCAATGCGGAATCACAGAATGTCAAGGATCCCAACGTCGATGAAGCTGCCATGCTTCTGGCCAACCTGGTCAAGTCCGATTACCTCCAGAAATTACATACATTGAAGCGCAGAGTGCCCGAGGGTGTCTCGACTTCGGAAAATGCTATTGATCAGCTCATGGATTGCTTTGTAAAGGGTGCCGAAGGGGGTCTCAACAAGGACGCCAACTACGATTATTTGTCCTACTTCTTTGCCGACCTGTCCCAAACTGAGCAGGGACGGAGCTATTTCACCACACGCCAAGAGTACGACGGAGTCGTTCCCATCACCAAGCTGACGGTATTCACGGAACACAAGAGCGAGATTCGTCGCAAGGGAGTCGCATCCACGATCAAGAATGTGGCCTTTGACGTCTCCTCTCACCCCATGTTGTTCGGCGAAGACGAGGCCAACCTTTTGCCTTATCTGCTCCTGCCTATCGCCGGACCGGAGGAGTTCCCCGACGATGAAATGGCGTCGATGCTACCAGATCTCCAGCTGCTCCCGCCCGACAAGCAGCGTGAAAGTGACCCGACCATTCTCACCACTCATCTGGAGACATTGCTGTTACTGACAACCACTCCCGAAGGCCGGGCTTTGATGCGTGCGGTGCAGGTGTACTCATTTATCAGGGAGTGTCATCTGAATGTCGAGGATGAAGGAGTGCGAGAAGCGTGTGACCGACTTGTACAGGTGTTGATGCGAGACGAGGAAGGGGAGGGAGCTCAGACCGAGGCAGGTTTGGCCCAAGCCCAGGCCCAGATTGAAGCCCCTGCCCCTGCAGATGAAGATGAAAAGGTGACGGAGTTGTTTTAGAAGGGGGAAGATTGAGATATCCAATATAAATGTATATACAGACTTGGGTTCACTGTACGAGTATAAACCCGGTTCCATCCAGTGGATCTGAATTCCTTGCGTCGTAACTCCAAGTGGGGCCGGACAATTCCATCACTCGCTTGGAGCTACTGCACGATCTAATCCTAAAAGAATCATCGATTTCATCACTGATGAAGTAATTGCAAAGAATTCAAAGAATCTCAATTCCATCACCATCACCATCACCATCACCACGGCCGAAATCCCGCTACAAACGCGGAAGCTATCTTGTCCCAACCCGAGGGGCGAGAGGCTTCCCGCCGAACCGCACCAAGTGGAGGGCAATCGTTGCCATTGCCCGTCCTCTTCCAATCTACATATTTCCGATCTTGAGTGTGAGAATTGTGACAGGGGCGACAACAATGGAAACTGCGACTCAGACCTTGACCTTGACCTTGACCTTGACCTGGATCCCGACGTGAGTCCGCCTTCCACGTCCCTCGCCCAGCGCTTCCGCGTCCTCATGTCACGCACCCCGCTAGTCCGGTCGTCGCCCGCCCTGGGCTCAACCTCATATGGCGCCGTACGTATTCCCCATGACTCTCTCGACGCCGATCTATCAGGACGGAGCAATGCTCGTAGGTTAGTGAATGGGGGATTCCAGCGTACGAGTCTCGAGAGTGGTGCGGGCCCATCGCGGGATGCACAAGATCGGTCCAAACCAAAACGCTCGCATTCATCAGGTCGAAGAAGCAGTGGGTGGTATAGAGAGGCCCACAATCGAAGACCCTCCTCTGCTACCTCAGATGTGGGCATGGGTGCCGACTCAAAATTCTCATTCGCGACGGGACTAGCGGTGCCTGGAAATTCTGTGATGCAGGATACCCCCGTCTCTTCCCCTTATATGACAAGTGATGAGGAAGATGTTCTGGATGTTGAGGATGAGGATTCAAAATCTCCCGAGGAGGATCCTCCGGACAATTCCCCGTGAGTTCCACTAGCTTCCTGACTGGACGATCAAGGCTAACCTCGCGGCTGATGTAGATATGCACAAGTTCGAGCAACAGTACCAGCGACAGACGACATCACTCTGTCAATCAACAGTAGGATTTCCTTGAATTAAATAAGTCGAATCGAACTAATGCTTATCAATATAGCCCCTCGTATGTGGATTCTCTCGTTGCTCTTCTCACTTACGGGCTCCGCTGCGAATCTCTTCTTCTCCCTTCGCTACCCGAGCGTGGCAATTACCCCGATTATTGCTCTGGTTCTAGTCCATCCGCTGGGAAAGTTTTGGGATGTGATCTTGAAACGGACCGATGATCCCCTTGAGGTGTTTGAGAATGGAACCCTCGACCATCGCGAATCTCTGGCTGGCGAAATTGATCTCCCTAACCACTCATGGGTCTCCAGAGTCCGACTCTGGCTCGCCCAAGGCCGTTGGAATGAGAAGGAACATGCTTGTGTCTACATTAGCAGCAATGTCTCGTTCGGCTTTGCCTTTGCAACTGACGTTAGTGTCCATTTTAATTGACCACTAGAGGTTTTTCATGGCTGACAAGCAGTACAGGTGATCGTCGAACAACATAAATTTTATAATCAAGAGGTCCCAGTCATGTATCAATTGCTGCTGATCATCTCGACTCAAGTCCTGGGTTACGCTTTTGCTGGCTTGACCAGACGGTTTCTAGTACGGCCATCCGCGATGATCTGGCCGGGAACTCTCATGTCCACTGCCATGTTTTCCACAATGCACAAGACCGCCAACAAGAAGGCCAATGGATGGAGTATCTCCCGCTACAAGTTTTTTATTTTGGTTTGGGGAGGGGCCTTTCTTTGGTATTTTGTCCCAGGCTTACTGATGCCTGCCCTGAGCTATTTCAGTGTGATCACTTGGTTTGCTCCCAAGAGCGTTGTCGTCTCCAATCTTGTATGTATCCTTTCTCCTCCCCTTCTTGTCTCTTTGTCAACCTTTGTTGGATACTGGTACCTCCTTCTAACAAGTGTAGTTTGGTGTGGCCTCGGGTCTTGGAATGTTTCCTGTGACGTTTGATTGGGCTCAAATCGCGTATATTGGTTCCCCTTTACTCACGCCCTGGTGGGCTGCAGCGAATATCGTTACCGGACTGGTAGTCGTGATTTGGATCATTGCCCCCATATTATGTAAGTCGTAACTTTGTCTCTTTTACGTGCCCTGCTGACGAAATTACGCAAGACTATAAAAATGTCCTATTTTCGTCCTTTATGCCTATTCTCTCAGCGGCTGTGTTCGATAACGAGGGTCATCCGTACAACGTGAGCCGAATTTTGACTCCAGAGTTTGTGTTCGATCAGAAGGCCTATGAGGACTATTCGCCCGTCTATCTCCCTATTACCTATGTGCTATCATATGGAGTTCAATTTGCGGCCCTTACCTCCCTAGTAACCCATACTGTGTGTTGGTATGGCAAGGATATTTGGCAGCAAACTCGCCGGGCATTCGAGGAACGACGAGAACTTCCAGACCTTAGCACATATGAACCCCTGCAGCGTGAAAATGGTCACCCGCAGACTCGCCGCAGTTCTGATATCCCTAGAGACTCACAAGATGCTCCTCGAGAGGAGCCGTTGGGAATGGAGGATGTCCATTGTCGCCTCATGAGACGTTACAAAGATGCTCCACTCACATGGTATCTCATCGTGCTTGTTACGATGCTTGTCACTGCCATATATACCGTGGAACAGTAAGTTGACGTTGTCCCCGGATTCTATTATCTTCTATTGCACCACTGACATTCTTTGCTCTGTACAGCTACCCAGTCCACCTGCCTTGGTACGGATTGCTCCTAGCACTGGGCATGACGAGCGTGTTTTTCATACCGGTCGGTATCATCATGGCCGTGACTAATCAACACAGCAGTCTCTATTTAATCTGCCAACTCCTTTGTGGCATCGTCTTTCCCGGACGGCCCGTTGCGAACATGATCTTCGTGACCTACTCTTACATCAGCTCTGCTCAAGGCATCAAATTCTCCTCCGATCTCAAGCTCGGCCATTACATGAAGATTCCACCTCGCATCCTATTTAGCGTACAGATGGTCGCAACGTTGGTATCTAGCTTAACCCAAATTGGCGTGTTGAATTGGATGTTTACCCACATCCCGAAATTGTGCACTCCTCAGGCGTTGAATGGTTTCAACTGTCCGATAGCTCGAGTGCACTTCAATGGAAGTATTCTCTGGGGTGTCGTGGGCCCGCAACGATTCTTTGGCCCAGATGGTCTCTACCGGCCCTTAGTGTGGGCATTCTTGATTGGCGCCGTGGCCCCGTTGTGCGCTTGGGCGCTTGGCCGACGAAGCAAGAAAAGCTTTTGGCGCAAGGTTAACTTCCCCATACTTTTCGGCAGTCTCAGTTGGATCCCCCCGGCTACGGGATTGAACTTTTCCACCTGGGCATTGGTATGCTTCGTGTTCAATTACGTGATCCGGCGCCGCAAGACGGCTTGGTGGGAGAAATATGCCATGACCCTATCGGCCGCCTTGGACTCAGGACTCGCATTCGCCGTGGTGATCTTGTTCTTTGCTCTCATTTACCCCGGGTGGGTCGCTGGGTTCCAATGGTGGGGGACGGAGATTTACAAGCAAGGCTGCGACTGGATTGCCTGTCCATACCGGCGTCTGGAGCCAGGGCAGAAGTTTGGAACTTGAATCTCCCCCACTGCACTGCAAAAGCGGCCAGGTATATGATTATATGAATGAACGAAATATCAAGAGCGTCGAACAATCCAACTATTACCTACAGTAAATGCAAAAAGTAATACACAAGCGTTGTCCGAAAACAAGAGCACATGGCGGAATTCATTTAGCAGTGGGGTATATACATATAAACCTTACTTTCGCGACATTGAGGGATCAATTGAGCACTCCAAATCCTGGATGTGCTCAACAGTCTGAATTGACACCAAAAAATGTTCCTATTCCAATATTCCAATGTTCTCCATGAAATGTTGACAAGATGATAGTTAAAGATAGCAGGGAGTGACTGGTAAGTTAAACAAAGCCTGTGGTGAGCATGACTAAGCTAACCCGTGACCTTTCATCATCATTGTCAGGCTGAAAGACGACTCCGCAGCTTCTCACTTCCTGGACTCTTTGGATTCTCGCCCATCTCCTTTCCTTGGCCCGTGAAACTCTCCTTCATTCCAAGACTTATCTCAGTCGTCTTCGAGAGAACCATGTCCACGCCAACTAACCCCTCAAATGGGCGCGCCCCCACAGGGCCTCATGGAGCTCCTCCCATGAGAATCCGTCGCCCCAAAGCCGCCGACCCGTTAGTCCGCCCAAAGAGAAGACCAGTAAGACCAGCGGGAACTGTTTCATCCGCAGCTGTTCCCACGGGCAAAACAGCCACCAAGACTCTTCCTTCGCGACCCTTGACATCCAATCCCCAGCCGTTATCGCAGCCATTGGAGCGGCCCCGACCCCCCCCGTGCGGGATGACCACGCCGTGAACGGTTTTAGCGGCCCTCTTCTATCCGAGAAATATGTCGACTACCCGGTGGTGACGACCAAGCGAGCTCTGCGCGAGGGGCTGAAGAATCACATCGCTCGCTTCGCTGCCAAGCGAGTTGTCGACCCACGCGATGAGTCGCAGTTTACGCGCCCAGTGAGGCTGCAACGTCGAGACCCGCGTTCCCGAAATCAAGACCATAATGCGGAAAGAATGGTAGGCCCCGATGGTCAACAACTTGACGAGGCAGAGCGAGAGGCACTCGACGCGAGGAGAGCTGCCCGAGAGAAGGAGCGCGCCGAGAATCTTGCCCAGATCGCCCCATCAGTCGGATCCACCGCAAAGCGACCAAATGCCCCAAAGCAGAAAACGCAACAAGTCTTCAAATCTGATATGACCCCCGAGGAGATTGCCAGAGCTCGGATCAAATATGAAGAGGCGCTACCCTGGCACCTTGAAGATTTCGACAACCGCAATACCTGGGTTGGTAATTATGAAGCGGCTCTATCGGAGACTCACGCGGTATTTATCCTCGATAATGGCAAGATGCGCATGATTCCCGCGGAAAAGTGGTACAAGTTTAGCGCCAAGAGTCATTTCAAGGCCCTGACCATCGAGGAAGCAGAAAAGTTCATGGCGAAGCGGGTGAAAGACCCGCGCTGGTTCATGGAAAAACAACAAGAGGATGCACAGCAGAAGGAGTTGGAAAAGTATGCTAAATCACGGAAAGTTTTCGCCGGGAAGCAAGGCGTTCTAGCCGGACGAGAGGGCTTAGAAGCTACTGAGATGGACTTTGAGGAAGACCGATTTGCAGACGATGAGGAACATGACGACCTTTTCAACGAGCAGGATGAAGACACCAAGGATGCTGAAAAAAGAATCAAAGATGATCAACTCAAGGCGAATGTCTTCGACCTCAAGGAAGAAAAAGACTACGAGGAAGAAGAAAAGAGGGAAAAGTTTGAGCGCGAGGCCCGTCACAAACTTGGAAAGAAGATGCGCAAAGCTCTGAAGAAAAGAGAAAGAAACTTTGATTATAGCAGTGGTTCAGACGCTAACCCATACACTGATGAGGAGGTAAAGTAACCTTCTGAACGTGTATCTGCCAAGAGTGTGTGAGACTTACTTTTTACTATTTTTACTTTCTAGAGTTCTGATGATAGTGAGACCGAACGGTTGAAGGAAGAGGAACGGAAAGCTGAAGAGGAAAAGAAACAGAAAGAATCGGCTTCCTCGTCGACCAAAGGCGCCACTACGCCGTCCGGCCGTCCCAAGCATACCGATCCTCTTAAGAAAGCTACCGCATCTCGCAAGCGACTGGGCTCGCCCGGTGGCTCAGATGCCAGTGGCACTGACACTTCCCGGAAAAAGGTAAAGAATAAACACTCATCCACCCACCAGACACCACAGCCTACTTCGAGGCCTATATCGCCATCTGGTGTGCAAGTCAGTACCCCTCGAACCGGAATGAACGGACCGTGACTAACTTGATATTGTTCAGGCTGGCAAGAAAAGAGTTCGCAATATCCCAATGGGGGCCTCCGGGTCTGGCAGCGACGTTGATGCTGTGGGATCTGGAGCTGAGATGAGTGAGAATGGCAAATCCAAGAAGTTGAAGCTGAATCCGCCTTCTGGTGGTTCTCGAGGCGGTACGCCGCAAGGATCCCGGGCAGCTAGCCCTGTTGCGGGCAACCAAAGCTTCTCTGGAAGCCGTGCAAGCAGTCCTGACGGAGCTCGAGGCAAGTCAACCGTTATCTCCTCAATTGATCTAGTATGCTGACTCTCACAGGCCAAGGACGCGTGTCGACACCAGGACCAATTGGAAACATATCCTTCCCAACGCCCGCAGAGATTCATGCCGCTATTCCGGCGACTGGCATTACCACCGTTGAACTTCTGAGGATTTTCCGTCCTCGTATTGGCGAATCTAAGGATATCCACCGTCGTTTCATCGCCATCGTGAAAGATGTCAGTGTCTACGGCAAAGAAGACCGATTGCTTCGGCCTGGTCCTTGGAAGGGGACGTAAGGCATAGAAATGAATGAATTATGCAAAAAATCCCCTAAGTTCGAGGTCATTGAAGTGTATCATACAAGTCTTCTCTCCGATCAATGAAAGAATCTTATCGCGAGTACCTAACTAGCTATCCGTTCTTTTAAAACCAACCATCGGAGGGTTTTCTGAGCCATGGAAAGCTTGGAGTGGTACGTAAATAACTATATACTGGAAACAAGAAGCATATTACAGTACAAACTCTCATTGTAATAGACGGAACTCAAATAGTTAAAGGGAAAAGAAAAGACTCATATACATGCAGCAAGAACAACTCCGCCAAGATTCGAAACATGTCACATCACGACCGAGGTAAAACAAGGTCTTTCTATCACGAAAACAATAAACACATTAGGAGGACGAGAAGGGGAATCACAAGATACAACATTAGGCCGCACGGGCAGCGGTCTCGGTGCCCTCTTCGTACTTCTCCCAGTTGGCCAGGATAGAGGCAATGCGGGGAGAGTTGGTGAGACGGTATACATCCTCAAAGTACTCCTTGGTAATCTCGAAGGGACGGGCAGTCACGTTGGGAATGTACTTGCCCACCAACTTGCTGGGATCGATGGTGGTTTTGTTGATCTTCTTGAGCAAGAAGGATCGGAAAGGCTTGACACCAGAGCGCAAGAAGGTACTGTGGAAGGGCACATCAATACCCTTAAGTGGGATGGTGGCAAAGCCACGCTCCAATTGAATCGGCCGGGGCTTGGCCTCGGTCTGCTTGACACACTCCTGGATGATGCTGACCAGGTGGGCCTTGACGTCCTCGAGGGACATGCTCTCCATCAGAGCAGGAATGTCCATGTTCTGGGCCTTGAGGAAGTTGAGAAGGTTGGTGAGACAGTCAAGAGCGCGGAGCTAGAGAGAGATAATTAGTATCCAATATGATCGACATAATTTGAACAAAAGAAAGAAGAAACTTACATCACCAGCGGCCACATACTGCATGTTGGCCACATTGTAGTTGACAATCTCTAACAACCAACCAGTGGCCTCAGAAATATTCTCCACAACGTACTGCAGTGCCTGCTCGTTGAAGGTCTTGGAGATGCGGCTGGGGTTGACAGCGCACATGGAGTAGTTCGAGCGACCCTGCTCGTCACGCTCGACAGCGACCTGCATGGTCAGACCACGGTAGAACACAACGGACACCAAGCTCTCAATGGGCATGACATCAGCAAGGGCAGCCAGGGCCGAGTATTCACCAAGGGAGTGACCGGCGAAGCTGCTGTCACGCTGGACCAGACCCTTGGAGCGCATGTCCTCAAAGCTAGCCTTCTCCATCAGGGTCAGTGCGGGCTGAGTGAACTGAGTGGCAGACAGCAGACCGGTAGGGGAGCGGTAAGTGTACGAATCGGTGGTCTCATCAATGCCCTTGAAGATCTTCTCGGACTTGATCGAACCATCGGCGTTCACAGTCTCAAAGGTCATGGCCATGTAGTTCTGGCGGATGGCCTTACCCCGAGGACCACCAAAGTAGACGGTCAGCTCCTTGGGGTTGTTCTTGACGATGTCAATGATAGACAGGCCGTAGTTCTCGATGAAGTGGCGATCAGCACGATCCCAGACCTCCTTGGCCACAGGGCTGCTAGCATAGAGCTCCATACCCATACCCTGCTCCTGAGAGCCTTGGCCGGTGAAGACGTAAGAGGTCACGGGTTGCTCAACTTCAGCCTCACCCAGCAAAACCTTGTCCTCGGTCTCCTTGTTGCTGACCTCAACCTTGATAATCTTGCGACCAGCAATCATACCAACGTGCTGGAGCTTGACAGTGATCATATCGTTAGGCAGGACCATGCCGACTAGGGAGACGTGGAAGCCACGAACACGGCCAATATTGTTCTCAGCCGCCCAGGTCTCCACGAAACTGCGCACGGCAGCACTGCTGTACATGCCGTGGGTAATGGTACCAGGCAGGTTGGCGTAGCTGGAGAAGACACGGGACACGTGGATGGGATTGTAGTCACCGGAGACACGAGCGTAGGTCTCGTTGGAGGCCGGAGCACGTAGCTCCAAGAGAGTCTTGCCACTGAGAGGGATGGGGTTCTCAAAGTAGACCGGCTGCTCAATTGAAGTACCGTTGCGCTGGAGGTAGTCAATCACCGGGTTACCGTGAGAGGTGCCGGCCTCGTAGTCCACAGACGCCACCTGGATGACCTCCTTGGTGGGCAGCTCCAATAGAACCTGACCAATTGTCTGGACATTACTGAAGACGGTCTGGTTCTTGAAGCGAATCAAGCTCTGCAGACGGAAAGTCAGAGTCTGACCGAGGAGCTCGATTTCACTTTCATCCATGCGGAACCATTCCTTGGAACGCAAAATGGCGACATCACGGCTGGTAGCCAGGTGAACCTGCATGGGCACTTCGTCCTTACGCTGGAAGGTATTCTCAAAGTCGACGTACGCACCGCGGTACAGGAACTGACTGGTGACGTGCATGATGGCCTTGCCATCACGCTTAATAGTGCCACACACCTCAACCATCTTGCCCGAGTCCTGATTGATTACGGCGTTGATTTGGGCGGTGGTATCGAGGACATCACCAACCTTCAGGGGCTCAGCACCCGGAACCATCTTGAAGCCGTTGGACAGATGAACGAGCTTCAGTAGGTCTCCATCGATGGTGCGGGGGAAGATGGGCTTGGTGATAGCCTTCCAGCCAGCCACGATGGCGAAGTCCATAGGCGCGTAGACCTCCTTGCCAGGACGGTCAACGAAGGCCTCACCAGTGTTGCCGACAGCGTGGACGAAGTCGGCGACAGCCTGGGAAGTGATAGTCGTGCGACCACCGCTGAAAGTGGCAGTCGTCGGGGTATCGAAAGGAACATCCTTGTTACCAAACCAGATGCGGTAGTAGAACTCCTTGATGCGGTCATTGCGATCTCCCATAACCTCACGCAGGGGGGCGTATCCGGTCTCCGGGTGGTAGGTGAAGAGGAAGGTCATGGGAACAACACCACCTTCGGCAGTGCGGCCCTCAAACAGAGTCAGGCTGATCTGGCCGTTCTCGTTCATTTTGGCCTCAACAGTCTTCACAAGCTTGCCAGACTGGTAGGGCTCGCGAACACTAATAACAGATTTGGCGGGATCATTGGGGTTGGCAATTTCCACCAAGAGACCGGGAGTGGGAGCGACAATTCGCTTCAACGGATTGGTCTGGAAACGGTGACCTTGAACAAAAACATCGGCCATGAACAAGGCGTGACGCCAGGAGTAGGAGTCGCCAGCAAGAAGACGGAGCCAGCGATCCAGCTCAGGCAGATCGGCAGAGGAAGATGAAAGACGGAAGCTAGTCTTGCTAGCCTCCTCGGAGATGGTGAGACCCTCGACTTCGGCCTCATCCTCGGCAGTGGCCAGGTTGCCACCAAAGTACTCGATCACAGGAATCTTGCTCTTGTCACCGCCGTAGACATCGCGGAGCAGACCGGAAATGTGACCATTGTGGACACCATCAAGGATGTCCTTAACGGGCTCGTCAATGACGTTAGAGAAGCGAGCAGCCATAGGGCCCTGAAGGATACAGGTACGACCAACGTCCTGATCAACGACAGCCTCCAGATCCTCACTCTGCCACAGGGAGTCCTTCTTGAAGAAGTACTCAAAATTCTCATCGAGCGAGGGAACGAAGGGAACGGGCTTCTGTCCGCGCCGCTGGCACAGCAGCAGGAAGTGCTGGACATCTTGCGCGTTGATCAGCTGGGTGGCAGCCTCAGGGTAAGCAGCCAGTATGTTGTCCACCGCGGGGTAGGGAGTGTTCAGCTCGGAGTAATTCTGGAGCAGCGAGGCCTGACCATCAGCAGTAGTAAATCGCTCCTCAACACGACGGAGGAAGTCACCAGTGAGACGCTTGAGGGAATCATCTATCCATCGAGACTCATGCTTGACGTACATGAGGTCCACCATGCGGTGAGCCACCTCAGCATAGGTCATATCCTCAAGATCCACAGTCTCTCCGGCGGCGTTGCGACCAAACCACACCTTGTGGAAATCATCGTTGAGTTTCTTGATGATGTAGTTGCGCTGCTTCTTGAGTTCAGGGACACGCTTGGCCTTGTCAAGCTTGAAGATCTTTTGATCCATCTCCTGCCAGAACAGGACACCCCGAGTGGCCAGCTTGTGGATCGGCTCGCCCATCTCAGACAGGACGGTGATCACACCACCAGTGGCCTGCTTGTAGGTCTTCTCCCAATCTGCGTCATCCACACCAGGAGCATCGGCAATGGCCTGCTTGGCATTCTTGGAGGTGTGGGCTTCCTTGGAGATCATCATGCGACTACCGAAAAGACATCCGTCAAAGGGCATGGGAGGGTAGCCAAACTTGGCAGACCAGGTACCAGAAAGGTACGGGTAAGTGTCCTCGGCGCCACCGAAACCACTACCAGCGACAATGACGATGTTGTCTTGCTTACGGAGACGGCTGTACATCTGGAGGATCGGCTGGTGGAAGTCCTCGAAGGAGTGATGACCACCACCGCGGCCACCAGTCCACTGCATGATAATGGGGAACTTGGGGTTGGCCTTAGCAATGTTGATAACCTGCTGGATAGCGTCGACGGAGCCAGGCTTGAAGGCGATGTGCTTAATGCCAAGAGTCTCAATGTATTCATTGGCGACCTCGATAGAAGGCACACCTGCACCGATGGCCAGACCCTCGACGGGCACGCCCTCGGCACGTAAACGGCCGATCAGAGGGATCTGCCAGGCCATGGCTCGGGGGTTGACGTAGATCAGGTTGATGGTGATACCACGGCCGGGAGGAATGACCTTTTCAATCTTGTTGATCGCCTCAGTCATGGTCTTGGCGTTGTAGTAACCGCCACCAGCCAGCTCAATGTGGTAACCAGCATTCATCGTAGCGGCGACAAAGTCCCAAGGGACAGTGGTGGGGGTCATACCAGCCACCATAACAGGAGGAATACCTAGCAGGCGACTCATCTTGGTGTCGACATAGGTCTGACCGGCGGAGGTCTGCACGA